ACACATATACACATGTCTAGATAGATATGATTATAGATATATAGGGCTTGCAAATATTGCAGGAGGGAAATACACACACATATAGAGATGTGTCTCGAGAGATATAAACAGATATATAGGATTTGCAAATATTGCAGGGAAATGCACACACACACACACATATAGAGACAGAGATGTCTAGATAGATATAAACAGATATATAGGACTTGCAAATATTGCAGGAGGGAAATACACACACATATAGAGAGACGTCTAGATAGATATAAACAGATATATAGGGCTTGCAAATATTGCACACACACATAGAGAGAGAGATGTCTAGATAGATATAAACAGATATATAGGGCTTGCAAATATTGCACACAGATATATATAGAGAGAGAGGTCTAGATAGATATAAACAGATATATAGGGCTCGCAAATATTGCACACACAGAGAGAGAGAGAGAGATGTCTAGATAGATATAAACAGATATATAGGGCTCGCAAATATTGCACACACATATATAGAGAGAGAGATGTCTAGATAGATATAAACAGATATATAGGGCTTGCAAATATTGCAGGAGGGAAATGCACACACATACATAGAGAGATGTCTAGATATTAACAGATATATAGGGCTTGCAAATATTTCAGGAGGGAAATGCAAACACACAGATATCTAGATAGATATAAACAGATATATAGGGCTTGCAAATATTGCACACACACATATAGAGGGGAGAAATGTCTAGATAGATATAAACAGATATATAGGGCTTGTAAATATTGCAGGAGAGAAATGCACAGAGAGATGTCTAGATAGATAGAGGGCTTGCAAATATTGTGGGAGGGAAATGCACACAGAGATATCTAGATGGATATAAACAGATATATAGGGCTTGCAAATATTGTAGGAGGGAAATGCAGAGAGAGAGATATGGATGGATGGCTAGATAGATAGATAGATAGATAGATAGATAGATAGATAGAGGGCTTGCAAATATTGCGGGAGGGAAATGCACACAGAGAGATATCTAGATAGATATAAACAGATATATAGGGCTTGCAAATATTGCAGGAGGGAAATGCAGAGAGAGAGAGAGAGATGTCTAGATAGAGATAGATAGATAGATAGATAGATAGATAGATAGATAGATAGAGGGCTTGCAAATATTGCAAAGAGGAAAATGCACACAGAGAGATATCTAGATATCTGTTTAAATCTAGCTAGTTATAAACAGATATATAGGGCTTGCAAATATTGTAGGAGGGAAGAGAGAGATATCTAGACAGATGATAGATAGATAGATAGATAGATAGATAGATAGATAGATAGAGGGTTTGCAAATATCGCGGGAGGGAAATGCACACAGAGAGATATCTAGATAGATATAAACAGATATATAGGGCTTGCAAATATTGTAGGAGGGAAATGCAGAGAGAGAGAGATGTCTAGATAGATAGATAGATAGATAGACAGACAGACAGACAGACAGACAGACAGACAGACAGATAGATAGCTTGCAAATATTGCAGGAGGGAAATGCAGAGAGAGATGGATGGATGGATGGATGGATAGATAGATAGATAGATAGATAGATAGATAGATAGATAGATAGAGGGCTTGCAAATATTGCAGGAGGGAAATGCACACAGATATCTAGCTAGATATAAACAGATATATAGGGCCTGCAAATATTGCAGGAGGGAAATGCACATATAGAGAAAGGATTTGCAAACATTTCAGGGGGTAATACACATGTGAAATGAGCATATATAATTGTAGATCCAGGCTGGAGCAAACCTGGAGGGAAAGGTACCCAAACTGGATCATTTGGTACCCATGGAAAGTGGGTCCCGAGACCTGGCGACCTGAGCGTGGCCTCGAAGGCTTTCTAGAGCGGTTCCCCATCAACCCAGAGCTGAGCTGGGAGCCTCCTTCTCCACTGCAACAGCATCAGGTGTGTTCCAGTCGAGAAAGCCCTACACCTGAGCTGTGCCTGCCTGTCAATACCTTTCCCTCCCTGCGCTTCTCTCCGAAAACATATTTGTCATGCTCTCGTCTTTCTCCTGGTGCAGGTTTTTTCTCCCTCCCAAACGTCCCCTTTTTGGCTTCCGCTTCATACAAATGCATGAGCGGCACCTTCCTCTCTTGCTCGCATCCCACGGCTTTGGATTTTCCCAAGGAGAGAAAGAAGCAAAGGAAAAGGATGGTGGAGATGCATAGGTTTTGGGCACCCTAAAGGAAAGGCCCTAGAGAACAAACAGCAATTTCTGACTCTCTCTGTCTGAGGCTCTGCCTTAAAAAATATGTCCTCCTTCGATACGGACATTGCCTTGTCGCCGAAAGAATTTCGCAGACAAGAAAGGGGAGGTTGGTGTTGTGGACCATGCCCAAAATCCATCCTAGTAGAGAGGTCTGCAACAAGAAGAGAGAATATTTCTTTCTCTTGTCACTTAGCATCGTTCTCTTCCAAATCCCCCCATTTCCAAACTGTTTGTATTGCAGAGGGTGACATTCTGAGTCTCAGACCCACATCTCCCTATAGATACAGCCATAGGGATATTATCCACATCCAGGAGAAGAAAGCCATCCCTGCAAAAGGGCACTGCCAAGACACAGATGGGGAAGACCAAATACATCGCCCTCCCCAAAAAGATGTATATAACAAGGAGGCATTTCAGACAAGGCAAGTCTGGAGAGATCTTTGCGTTTTGCTCCAACGCGAGACAATCGGAAACAAGCAACTGGAGGGGGGCTTTTTGGGGTGGAAAGCGCAGCACAAACACACACTTGTGTAGCAAGAGATCAAGGCGGGGGGAAAGCAAAGGTTGGTCACCTTGCAGCCCAAAAAGACACACACCGAGATGGAGCCGGGAGGAATTATAATTAATTTATATAATAAAATAATGGAATGGTGTAATATAAATGTACGTTGGAATAGAATAAAATAATAGACTAATATAATAGAAATTTATAATATAATAATATAATGCAATATAAAATGTATATTCTAACAGGACAAAATAATTGATTTTATTATAATAAAATAAAATAATAGAAATGTATGTTAAAATAGAGTAAAATAATTTATTATATTATAATATAATTTTATATTATACAGAATAAAATAATTGATTTTATTATAATATAATAAAATAATATAAATGTTAAAATAGAGTAAAATAATTCATTATAATATAATATAAAATATAATTTTATATTATAATAGAATAAAATTGTTTATTTTATTATAATATAATAATATAATAGAAATATATATTCTAATAGAATAAAGTAACTGTATGTAAATGTATGTTATAATAGAGTAAAATAATTTATTTTATTATAATAAAAAATATAATTTTATACTATAACAGAATAAAATAATAAAATAAAACAATACTGCTATATTATTTTATATTATAATAAAATAATATAAATGCATGTTATAATAGAGTAATATAATATAATAAATATAATATAAAATATAATTTTATATTTTATTATAATAAAATTATTTATTTTATTATAATAGAATAATATAATAGAAATGTATATTCTAATAGAGAAAAGTAACTGATTGTATTATAATAGAATAAAAAATAATACTGCTGTATTATTTTATATTATAATAAAATAAAATAATTTATTTTATTATAACAGAATAATATAATATATAGTTTTATATTATAAAAAATAATTTATTTTATTATAATAAAATAATAGAATAGAAATGTATATTCTAATAGAATAAAGTAACTGATTTTATTATAATAGAATAAAATAAAATAACATAATATAGCTATATTTTTATATAATAATAATAATAATAGAATAGAATAGAAATGTATATTGTAATAGAATAAAATATTTTATCATAATATAATATACTAAAATTATATTATTATATATAATGGAATAAAGTAATATAAATGTATATTCTAACAGAATAAAATAATTTATTTTCTTAATAAATTATAATAATTGTAAATTAAAATTTTATTTATATTATTACAATATTATAATATCAATTTATGATCACAACAATAATCCATCTCTTGCAGCGAGCTCTGCCTTCGAGCAACCAGCAACCCTTCTTGAGATGCCAGGAGAATAGAGACATACTCCATAGCCAAGGCGAGGAAGCTCATAGTAAATAAAGGAGCCGGGCATTGCAGATTTGCTGCTTGCTGGCATCCCATACATTAGATACATACATACATACACATAGATACAGCTCAGATCTCTCCAAGCTGGAGTTTGACAGGATACATAGAGAGAAGACCCCCAACTCACCAACCAAAGGCCATTTTTATGGGGTTCGACCCAACAAATCTGAATATTTGGAGGAAATAAAGGAGGAAGGAAAGGATGGAATATAGGTAGAGATGGAAAAGGATCTAAATCATCAAAAACACCAGTGGAAGTGGGAGAGGAGACCCCCAACTCACCAACCAAAGGCCATTTTCAACAAATATGAATATTTGGAGGAAATAAAGGAGAAAGGAAAGGATGGAATATAGATAGAGATGGGAAAGGATCTAAATCATCAACACCAGTGGAAGTGGGAAGCTTCTCCCCATCACCCAGTGTTTGATATATGTTGGGGGTCCTTCAACCTTGAAGCAATGGGGTTCTGAAGGACCCAAGACCATGATTTGGGGGGGGGGGTTCAAGGGGAGCCCAAGATGTCCTCCCACGCCCCCACTTCCTTGCGTGGTGCAAAATCCCCCCAAAGAGAGAGAGATGGATAGAGATGGGATCCAGACAGAGATGCTGCAGCGCCTCAGGACCCTCCCTCCCCTTGGATTCCCACGCGAGACGGGGAAACATGCGTGTCACGAACGTGGGGAAGGGTCTCGGGTGCAGCCCACGCCCCACGTCAAGAGGATAAGGCACATTTTGACACCAATGGGGAGCCCCACGCGTGGGGAATGGACCAGTTTGGAATTGTCGGGTTTTGCATCGCCCTTCTCCCGACAATTCAGACCCCACCCACTCACCCAGGTACCTGCAGGATCCAGAGAGGAGGAAGAGGATGGTGCTGAGGCAGGCGACGGCCTCGCTCCCCAGAGGGAGCTGCAAAGGCGGCTCCGGAGACAATGGGAGAAGCCGAGAAGGAAGGAAGGGATGCTGATGGGGGGAAAGGAGGAGGAAGGCAAGGCAAGGCGAGCAGGCAAGCGGCAGGGAGGGAGGGAGGCTCCGGCCCGCCTCCTCCTCCTCGGCGTCGTCTGAGGCGCCCAGGATGGAGAAGGAGGGAGGGGAGGAGGGGAAGGGGGGCGGAGGAGGGAGGTCCTGCCCAAGCCCCAGCCAAGCCCCGCCCCCCCCCCGCCCTTCCTCAGCCTCCTCTTCCTCCTCCTCCCGACGCCTCCGCCTTGCCTCTCCTCCTGACACTCTCCCTGCTCCATCCAAGGAAAGGATGCAAGGGAGAGACATTAGAAGGGAAAGGATGCAAGTGAGGGTCCCTGGAAGGCAAAGGATGCAAATAAGGGGCCCTCATTTGCATTCCTTGCCTCCCAGGGTCCCCCACTTGCATCCCTTGCATTTTAGGGTCTCTCACTTGCATCTTTTGCTTCCTAAGGACCCTTACTTGCACCCACTGCCTTCCAGGGACCCTCACTTGCATCCCTTGCCTTGAAGGGACTTGCATCCCTTGCATTTTAGGGTCTCTCACTTGCGTTCTTTTGCCTTCCAGGGACCCTCACTTGCATCCCCTCCCTTCCAGGGACCCTCACTTGCATCATTTGCCTTCCAGGGACCCTCACTTGCATCCTTTGCCTTCCAGGGACCCTCACTTGCATCCTTTGCCTTCCAGGTACCCTCACTTGCATCATTTGCCTTCCACACTCCCTCACTTGCATTCCTTACATTTTAGGGTCTCTCACTCGCACCTTTTGCTTCCTAAGGACCCTTACTTGCATCCACTGCCTTCCCGGGCTCCTCACTTGCATCCTCTGCCTTCCAGGGCTCCTCATATGCATCCCTTGCATTTTGGGTCTCTCACTTGCATCTTTTGCCTTCCAGAGACCCCCACTTTCATTCCTTGCATTTTAGGGTCTCTCTCTTGCGTCCTTTGCCTTCCAGGGACCCTCACTTGCATCCCTTGCATTTTAGGGTCTCTCACTTGCATCCTTTGCCTTCCAGGGACCCTCACTTGCATCCCTTGCATTTTAGGGTCTCTCATTCGCATATTTTGCCTTCCAGGGACCCTCACTTGAATCCCTTGCATTTTAGGGTCTCTCGCTTGCATCCTTTGCCTTCCAGGGACCCTCACTTGCATCCCTTGCATTTTAGGGTCTCTTACTTGCATCCTTTGCCTTCCAAGGACCCTCACTTGCATCCCTTGCCTTCCAGGGACCCTCACTTGCATCACTTGCATTTTAGGGTCTCTCACTAGCATCTTTTTGCCTTCCACTGACCCTCACTTGCATCCCTTGCATTTTAGGGTCTCTCACTTGCATCTTTTGCCTTCCAGGGACCCTCACTTGCATCCCTTGCATTTTAGGGTCTCTCACTTGCATCTTTTGCCTTCCAGGGACCCTCACTTGCATCCCTTGCATTTTAGGGTCTCTCACTTGTGTCCTTTGCCTTCCATTGTCCCTCACTTGCATCCCTTGCATTTTAAGGTATCTCACTTGCATAATTTGCCTTCCAGGGACCCTCACTTGCATCCCTTGCATTTTAGGGTCTCTCACTTGCATCTTTTGCCTTCCAGAGACCCTCACTTGAATCCCTTGCATTTTAGGGTCTCTCACTTGCATCCCTTGTCTTCCATGGTCCCCCAGTTGCATCCCGTGCATTTTAGGGTTTCTCACTTGCATCTTTTCCTCCCAGGGAACCCCACTTGCATCCCTTGCATTTTAGGGTCTCTCACTTGCATCTTTTCCTCCCAGGGAACCCCACTTGCATCCCTTGCATTTTAGGGTCTCTCACTTGCATCTTTTCCTCCCAGGGAACCCCACTTGCATCCCTTGCATTTTAGGGTCTCTCACTTGCATCTTTTCCTCCCAGGGAACCCCACTTGCATCCCTTGCATTTTAGGGTCTCTCACTTGCATCTTTTCCTCCCAGGGACCCCCACTTGCATCCCTTGCATTTTAGGGTCTCTCACTTGTATCCTTTGGCTTCCAGGGACCCTCACTTGCACCCTTTGCCTCCTAAGGTCTCTCACTTGCAACCCTTGCCTCCTATGGTCTCTGAGGGAGCCTAGAATGCAAAGGATGCATTCTCTATGATTCTATTATTCTAATAATAATAATATTAATATCAGGTGCAGGCAAGTCAAATCACAGGTATGGGTTCTGTGGTGACAGGGATCTCATTAGATAGGTAGATGGCAAGCTATTTAACCTCAGTAGACTGAAAGCCAAAACCAAGGTTACAACAACATCTGTTATAGAACTCCAGTATGCTGATGACAATGTCGTCTGTGCGCATTCAGAAGAAGACTTACAAGCCACTCTAAACACCTTCGCAGAAGCATACGAGAAGCTCGGCCTGTCATTAAACATCGAGAAAACCAAAGTGCTATTCCAGCAGTCACCAGCCAATCCCTCTCCAATGCCAGAAATACAGCTTAATGGTGTAACATTAGAAAATGTTGACAATTTCTGCTCCCTTGGCAGCCACCTCTCCACCAAAGTCAACATTGACATTGAAATTCACCACCGCCTGAGCTCTGCAAGTGCAGCTTTTTTCCGAATGAAGCACGTAATGTTTGAGGACTGGGACATCCATAGGGATACCAAGGTGCTTGTCTATAAAGCTATTGTCCTCCCAACCCTCCTATACGCCTGTGAGACGTGGACTGTCTACAGACGTCAACATTGACACAGAAATACAACACCGCCTGAGTTCTGCGAGCGCAGCATTTTTCCAAATGAAGCAGAGAGTATATGAGGACCGGGACATCCGTAGGGATACCAAAGTGCTTGTTTATAAAGCTATTGTCCTCCCAACACTGCTGTATGCCTGTGAAACATGGACTGTCTACAGACATCACATGCAACTCCTGGAATGATTCCATCAGCACTGCCTCCGAAAAATCCTCCTAATCTCTTGGGAAGACAAACGGACAAATGTCAGTGTGCTGGAAGCAGCAAAGACCACCAGCATTGAAGCAATGGTCCTGCCCTCCGCCATCAACTCTGCTGGACCGGCCACGTTGTCTGGATGCCTGACCACCATCTTCCAAAGCAGTTGCTCTACTCCGAACTCAAGAATGGAAAATGGAATGTTGGAGGACAGGAAAAGAGACTTCAAGACGCGCTCAAAGCCAGCCTTAAAAACTGTGACATAGACACTGAGAACTAGGAAGCCCTGGCCCTTGGGCACTCCAGCTGGGGGTCAGCTGTGACCAGCAGTGCTGCAGAATTTGAAGAGGCACGAATGGAGGGCGAAAGAGAGAAACATGCCAAGAGGAAGGTGCGTCAAGCCAACCCTGACCGGGACCGCCTTCCACTTGGAAACCGATGCCCTCACTGCGGGAGAAGACGCAGGTCAAGAATAGGGCTCTACAGCCACATACGGACCCATCGCCAGGATACTACATTTGAAGGACCATCATCCTCGGACTGTGAGGGATCGCCTCAGTAAGTAAGATAGGTAACTAAGTTAAGATGCATCTACACCATCGAATCGATGTTTGCAACCCCTGTAACTGCTAACCTGAGGGTCCCTGCGTGGGTGAACGGGAGGGTCGGGAGCACCCTCATTTGCCAGCTTCCCTGGTTTTGTGCAAGATGTTTTCCGCGGGATAAAAGGCTGAAACGCCTCTCCAAAGACTTAATTAGTGCCAGCCAGTGCTTTAAGCGAAAACACGCTGGTATTTCGCTTCCCTTTCTTTTTATTATTATGTTTCGCCTACGGTCCCGCACCCAGCATTCGAACGTGGTCCCTGCAACGGAATTGGACCCTGAAGGCCGAGAGCGGATCTCCACCACAGCAATCTATTCTGCCCCACCAGAGACAAGCCTTCCCTTGGCCTCTTTTCTTATTTCTTTGGCTTCTGCAGCATTCCAGAAGTCCCATTACATACAATACAATCCTAGAGTTGGAAGAGACCCCAAGTTCTAACCCTATTCTCTGTGCGCATTCAGAAGAAGACCTACAAGCCACTCTAAACACCTTTGCAGAAAAATATGAGAAGCTCGGCCTGTCATTGAACATCGAGAAAACCCAAATGCTCTTCCAGCAGTCACCACCCAATCCCTCAGCAGAGTGAAAGCCAAAAACATGGTTACAACAACATCTGTTACACAACTCCAATATGCTGATGATAACGTCGTCTGTGCGCATTCAGAAGAAGACCTACAAGACACTCTAAACACCTTCACAGAAGCATACGAGAAGCTCGGCCTGTAATTGAACATCGAGAAAGCCCAAGTGCTCTTCCAGCAGTCACCAGGCAATCTCTCAGCAGACTGAAAGCCAAAAACAAGGTTACAACAACATCTTTTACACAACTCCAATATGCTGATGATAACGTCGTCTGTGTGCATTCAGAAGAAGACCTACAAGCCACTATAAACACCTTTGCAGAAGCATAAGAGAAGCTCAGCCTGTCATTGAACATTGAGAAAAACCAAATGCTCTTCCAGCAGTCACCAGCCAATCCCTCAGCAGACCGAAAGCCAAAAACAAGGTTACAACAACATTGGTTACACAACTCCAATATGCTGATGATTATGTCGTCTGTGTGCATTCAGAAGAAGACTTACAAGCCACTCTAAACACCTTTGCAGAAGCATACGAGAAGCTGTCTACAGATGTCAACATTGACACCGAAATACAACACCACCTGAGCTCTGCGAGTGCAGCATTTTTCCGAATGAAGCAGAGAGTGTTTGAGGACTAGGTCATCCATAGGAAGACCAAAGTGCTTGTTTATAAAGCTATTGTCCTCCCAACCCTGATATGCCTGCGAGACGTGGACTGTCTACAGACGTCAACATTGACACTGAAATACAACATCACCTGAGCTCTGCGAGTGCAGCATTTTTCCGAATGAAGCAGAGCCTGTTTGAGGACCAGGACGTCCGTAGGAAGACCAAGATGCTTGTTTATAAAGGTATTGTCCTCTCAACACTTCTATACGCCTGCAAAACGTGGACTGTCTACAGATATCAACATTGACACCGAAATACAACACCGCCTGAGCACTACGAGTGCAGCTTTTTTTCCGAATGAAGCAGCGAGTGTTTGAGGACCAGGACAACCGTAGGAAGACCAAGGTGCTTGTTTATAAAGCTATTGTCCTTCCAACCCTGCTAT